AGATCCTAATGATCCAGTACCCTAGCCGTCAGTTGGGGGAGATGTCCTTGGAAGAACACAGCCAATGTGAATGCAGACCCAAACAAAAGGAAAGTGCTGTGAAGCCAAACAGGGCTGCCATGCCCCACCACGGTCCCCAGCCCTGCTCTGTTCCAGGCTGGAATTCCGCCCCCAGAGCACCCTCCCCAGCTGACAACATCCATCCCACTCCAGCCCCAGGATCCTCTGTCCACGCTGCACCAAGCGCCGTCAGCGCCCTGACCCCCAGTCCTGCTGCTGCCGCTGGCATCTACAGCCTGGAACAGAGCTCCCCAGAGGAGCCCGAAGAGGACAGGAGGCTGCCAGGCAGCCAGGCACCACCTGCCCTGGTCAGCTCCAGCCAGTCCCTGCTAGAGTGGTGTCAAGAGGTCACCAGTGGCTACCGTGTTGTCCGTATCACCAATTTCACCACATCCTGGCTGATAGAGATAGAAAAGGTTCTAAGCCAGAGTGCTGCTATTTAGAAGGCACTTTCTGATTGTAGTCTTTGTTAGGTGTGTGCAGCTTACTCAGTGGTACTGTACAATACTGGGGAAACTTAAGTTCTTATTGCAAACATCTACTCTTAGACATTTAGAAGTATATAATGGGCCAGATATGATGGCACACTCCTTTAATCCCAGCACCAGGGAGACAGGTGGGTAGATCTCTGAGTTTGAGGCATTAATTCATCTTGCTAATATTTTAACATATAGATATAATAGTAAAATTAATGTGATGCTTACTGTAGTCTGTTGCTTTATGTTTCCTTTTAACGTGAGCATTAAGGAATGCAGATTTTAATTGTAACTTTGCTAATACTTCTATCTAGAGGCCTGCTGCCATTTTTGTCTTCTGTGAAATTTTTTTGCCAAGGAAGACAGGATTACAATTTTGTCTGACAGACTGAGATGGCCTGGTATATTCTTGGTTATCAAAATACTCACATAGCATGGGGTTTTTGAGTTGGTGAATATTCACAATGTGTGGGAAAGCATGATACATACAGTACAGTCTCAATTACCTAAATATGTGTACACATGCAGGATCTAGACACGTCCAACTGCGCTGTATGTGACTGGATGATTTTGTTCTTGGCTTGTGTTTTGCTTTCTGTAATGCACATATTAAAAAAAAAACAAAGATTATTTTTAAAAACAGAAAAGAAAATATGAGGCAATAGCATTTGGGAGCTGAGTCATCATCATCTAAGCTTTATGGCTTCTAATTAAGCTCTCTTGCTTCCTGTCCTATTCAGAAACCATGAAAAGGTCCAGAGTAACAGGCATGCTCAATAGCATTAGAGCCAGTGCTGCAGTAAGGCATGTGATACCTAGAGAGCTTTTCTGTCAATGTGCTCAGACCAACTTCCTAGGGAGAAGTAGCAAAGCACACACAGCCCCCAGAAAGCCTGTGTGTGCCAGGTGATTTCTTCAGGGGACACAGAGTCAGCCACTGGGGACAAGACTTTGCTGGCTGCTGGAATATGCAATTGCATCTCTACCTTCGCAAGTCAGAAAGAGTTGTCACAATCAGGGCTGTCACAGTGGCTTCCGCCACCAGCTCCTCCTACCCATGCCCTTGCCCTCCATCTGCAGCAGCTTGCTCCTGCCCCCAGGAACTCAGTTTGTGGTGAGAGACAGGTTCCCACATCCTGTTGAGTGGGGCCTGGTGCTCGCTCCAGCCTCAGAGACTCAGCTGACTGGAACCCCCATCGCAGCCCTCTTGCAATAGAATGGATATTCTGTTAGAGATTTCAGGATGGATTCCTGGCTGAGGTAAAAAAGCAAATTCAGTTCATTAGTTAGGATATTTAATGTATATAATGGTAGAAAGTGTCAGGCCTGAGGGTGTGTTTGTAGAGGGGGGGAGGCTGCTGTTATTGATAAGGGAAGGAAACTAAAGCCAGTTCCCTGCTTTTACATCTCACCAATTGAAAGGTACACATACTAAGTATACAAATTATAATTAATTAGCTGAATATTTATGTGGTGCTTTTGGAGAGGAAATAAATCTCATCACACATCCATTATCTATAGTGGAATTTGCCATCTTCACTCTTTGATTAGGATTTTGTCACAAATATTTTATTTTTCAGCAGCTTCCATTAACCTTGACTTTGTAGCTTTATTGTGCAATTTCTGACAATAATGAGTTTCAAGATTTAAAAAAAACTCCCTTTTTCAAGTGCACTATAAAGGATAGTTCAAGTACCTTGAAGGTGAAGAGATAGTTTTCCGCTGCATGAGTGTGCATGCCCGTGTGTGTGTGTGTGTGTGTATGTGTGTGTGTGTGTGTGTTTATGTGTTGACAAGAGGGACGGTCTTGGTTATGTAAAACATCTGTCATTTTCTTTCATCTACAAAGTGAATAGCTTAAATCTATTATATTTTCATCAGTTGCTTCATATTTCAATATGGGGATTTTTTCCAGGTTGGGAAACAATTTCTGTCTTCTCTTTTCGTTATGTCTTCTGGTAAGTTTTTGGCAGAGTGAGTCACAATATCATCACTATCCCGGTAGAGTAGAAGTTGGGCCTCTCATGTGGAGCATGCTGTCCTTACTTTCTCCAACCTGCTTCTTGTTCTTGTCTATAACTAATGAAACCCTGAACAGGAGGAGGGCTGGCTTCCTAGAACCTTTCTTCTTTATACATGAGCCCCATCACAGCCTCATGCTGTCTTGTGACACCACCATATGGTCCTGATGTGGGCAGCAGTGACAATGGTGGGAATGAATGGTGTTCAGTGAGAAGAATCCGTAATTCAAACCAAGTGCATCATGGATAATAAATAATACCATTTCAACATAATAAAAAAACCTACCACACATGTTAAATATATCAGTGAACGTTGAAAGAAACAACTAGGGTCAATGATTGTTATTAATTCATGTCTCTCTCATTATTAAAAGCATTATAGGCAATGGTACAAAGACATTTTCTTCTCTTCTTTCAGGGGCTCTGCCCAGGGAAGAATAATAGCACCCTCCTCCTTTAACTGCAGGAATCACCAACACATCATAGCAAGGGAAAGCTCTAACTCCCAAGTTATTTTAGACTCATTAGTTATTCATGGTTCACGGGTCTTTCATTTCTCTTGTCCTTTAAAATGCATACAAGGGTTAGAAGTAGAGCTTAGTCGTAGAGCACTTGCCTAGAACACACATGTCCCTAGGTCCTATCCCTAGTGCTGTAATATAAATAAGCTTTCAAAGGTAAGCAATTTCAAAAGCCATCTTCTAGTAATAGCTTTTTATATCATTTAGTTTCTAGACAGTTATGGTTATAACAATGTAGTGTGACACAAAATTAACAGCAGACTTTCTAGCAAGGTATTTTCAGTCATTCAAGGGCAATAGAACCTCCTCAGTTTCTTGAGCTTAGCACGATAGACATTTTGGGAGGAGAGTTCTCTCCTCAGAGTTCTCTCTGGAGGCTCTCTTGTGTACTGTAGGACAGGAGGTTAGGTAGCAGCCCCAGCCTGTGCCCACTAGATGCCAGTCACACTCCTTCCGCGCACACGGTCATTTCAATCAGAGCTGCCTCCAGAGATTGGCAAGCATAGTGAGGGGAACATTTGTCCCCCAGTTGAGAACCATTGGATTCCCTTAGTACCCAGGAGAAATTTAGAAACACAAACTGTGCTTCCAACCACAGTCATAGCACGATTTTGGCTTCCAGGTGACACCACAGAGATGTACCGGCTACAGAAGACGGCATGTTCTGATATGTGCGTCTTTTTGAGAGCTTCCTTCACATCATCTCTACCCTCATTTATGTACTAAATCCTTATTATACATTGTTAAAGACAAGATTTTCCTGGATCATGGAACTGTGAACTAGAAATCCAGATGATGTGACTAAAGGACTCTTGCTCATAGCCATCTTCCTAGAGGCTATGGCAAACAAGTCAGTTTATACTGGTGAAGGTACTTCTGAGCCAGGGCAAAGGTATATGGTTTTTAAAGGAAGTGCATTATCCTGAACAGAATTTCTGATATTATATAATTATAGAGTGAGTAGTTTGGGTAAGCACTGTGTAAGGATTAATTCTGATTGCTAACTTGATTTAAGTGATGCATAGGGTGTTAGTGAGACATCCCTTTTAGCGTCTGTAAGGGTGTTTAACACAGGTGGAAGAGCCAACCTGAACGTAGGTAGCACCACGTCACAGGACTGGGCTCCACACTGAACACAAAGGGATAAAGGAGGAAGGCAGCTGAGCACTGGCATTCTTGATCTCTGTTTCCTGACTGTGGATACAAGTGACTAGGCATGACATGTTTCTGCCTGCTGCCATGCCCTACTGGCCAAGCTGGATCAAACCATGAGCCAAAATAAATTCTCCTTCAAACTGCTTCTTCTCAAGTATTTGGTGAAGTGAGAAGTAATCAATACATTGTATACGTATGTAACAACTGAAAACAATGACGAATTCCTTCACATAATCTTTAAAAAGAATTTGAAGTAATTTGATATGAAATGTTTATTTTACTTAAAACATCATAAGACTCTGAGATCTTCTAGGCTGTGAAGTCTCTCTTAAGCATAAGCAGGCTGGGAATGTAGCTCACTGTTAGAGACATGCCCAGCACGCATAAGGCCCTGAGTTTGATCCCCAGCACCAGGCTGGAAAAAGTAGAAGCCTAGCCAACCTTTATATCATTAAGAGTTTAAATACCAAGAGTAGTGGTACAAGCCTCTAATCCTAGCACTCTGGGAGGATCACTGTGAGTTCAAGGCCAGGCTGGTCTACATAGCGAATTCCAGGCAGACAGGCTGATATAATGAGACACTGTCACACACAGAAAGGAATGGGCAGAAAGGTCTTGCAAATAATAATCATCAATATGGACATATGGACAAAGAAAAATATCAGAGCTAATACTGACAATATGTAACAACCTGAATTGCACAAGTACCAGGCAATCAGAATGGCTGCCGGTCATACATCCAGCTGTACTATGGTGTGTCAACTGAAGACCAGCCCAGAGAAAAGCAAAGTGTGGAACGCAAGTTCCTGTTGAAGTTGAAGTGGGAATAGAAGGCATGTATGTGTGCGAAGATATATATAGATATAGATATATATATATAT